ATACCAATGTCGTAGAATGCCAAAATCAAAGGAAAAAAGACAAAAATGTAAAGAAATGAATTTGAAGAGTAGATTATTCGCCATAGCATATTCTGTGCCATTTGTTCAACCTTCATGACCACGTAGATTTCATAGTAAAAGCAACTTTTTTTTTTGCAAAACTTTTTTTTTATTTTGCACGCGCGTATCAGTTTTGGGGCTCCCGGAGGATGTCATCCATATAATCAAATCAACATGGCCTTAATGATGAAACGTAACGGTTGTACAATCGGATTTTCAACATTGACATTAAAGATATATAAGTGCGCTCATGCAACTTTTACTTTGATAAACTGTATTGTATAAGTTGTATCACCAGAGATTGCCTAAGTCTAATGAATAAAAAGAAAAAAAATACATATCCCTACCTACTGATGTCAGACCCTAATTTTTTCTGGACTGACACAGCATTTTTTTCCTGGGCTGGTTTGTATTTCAAACGATCATCAAACTTTTAATCAAATCACCACATTGATAGATGGACAAACTGTAACAATTGTGAAGAGAAGGGACTTCCTTCAACTGGTGGGGCCAAAATATTAGCATTTTGGAGTAGATTCAGAGGCTCTAATGTTTTTTTTTTTTTTGCAAATCAGGACAAAAGGAAGCGGCCATATCTGTGAACCATCAAATTAAATTGGTGTGGCCTAACGTTAATAACTTTGTGAAATATTTAGAGTTTATGTCTAGCTTTAATTATTGTTCATTTACGGTGCAAATATGGTTTTAATTAACATCACATATGCTCATTGATCACTTCCTGATACTTTACGACTGTGGTCTAACACACCAGCTTTGCACTGGCACACGATACAGCAGCAGCTGTCTCTATTACACCGAACGACCCGTCACACCTAACTTTTGCACCAACAAATATGTTCTACCCTCCCCCCTGAAACTGCAAACTATCACATTACCCAAGTTTCAGAGATTCAGCACGCTTTCGCAGACACACCATCAACGAAAGATCACCGGCACATGGCCTAACAGTGAATCAGTCCGTCCTACCCTCCAGCCCTCAGCTTATAAGATTGATACGTGTATTATATTCCAAATGGGAGTTAAAGTGATTAGGGGTGTTGAGGAGATAGGGCGTTAGGAAACACCCCAGAGAACTCAGTCTTGCACGGCTGCAATCCTACACCGTAGCAGCCAGGCAGAAGGAGGAGGGGGGGATATAAAGCTGGAGGCGGTTGATTATGACTTCATGGTAGGTGATAATGAATGGTGGGGAATATTGGGCACATCAGCACTGTGTTACCCCCCAGGGGGTCTTAGCTTGCCAGGGAAATGGGCCCTGTCTTTTGTTTTAGAGAATCAACCGCTGAAGCCTTATGCTGTGTACTCATTACCACCTGGCATGTGGAAAGATCTGTGATTTTGCGATACGTACTCAGCAGTTTGACAGTAAGGTTTTACCTGAACAAACATTTTAGACTATTGGAGCATTCGCTAACAGGATTGACTATAAATTTAAATTCATTGATGGAATTTTATGTAATTTTTGTGCACGGGTGAAAAATCGACCCAAGATACATTAATGAATAGATTTTGGATCAAGACTTGGATGATCTAATATCTGACATGATTTTTTACCATCACAAGATGCAGTTTACTACAGGCAGTATTTGATGGGTAACTTCATCAAGGTAACAAATTGTTCTTGGATAAATTCCAAGGTATCATGCCAGGAACACATGGTCCAAGTTAGGGGCCTTAATGTGTGTATTAATCAATGTATAATGCAAAAAAAACACAACTAAGCTTGTTGCACAACAAGAAAAGATCGCATCCAATTAAAAAAGACAATAGCGTCAATCTGTTAAGCCTTGTATAAAGCTGATTATGTTCTTATCTGTTTGGTGTATTGACGTGTTTTTAAGTTGACAATGATGAAACGAAATTACATGAGGTAGCAGAGGATTCCTATCTGTGACTTGAATTCACTGGGGAAATCATCAGCATGTAACATCTACAGGTACTTCACTAAAGACGTGGTGATACAGTCATTACTTAAAGCTGTAATTGCTCTATTCTCCGGTGATGTGCTACAAAGGCTTAAAGTCTGTTGCTGGAATTACATTCTAAAATGACTGTAGAACTGTAACGTATAATGAATGCCAAACAAACACATACAAGAAAAACTGTTTGCTTGACTGTAAGGTGAAATCCTTCATGGTGAAAAGGGAATTGTGGACCTCATACTATGTGATTTTTGTCACTGAGTATCATCATCTTTCTTATACAAATTCACACATTGCGTTGAAACTGAATGAAATGAAGAAAAATGATTCAGAACTTAAAATTTATATATGTCCTGTACAATGGCAAGATTGCTGCTGGATTCAAGAGTGGTACATTGTAGAAATGCCAAATCTTGAGGCAAGTTTACTTGTATCAGAATAACCAGATTTTCAGCACCAAGGAGAGGATTACAAAAGTTTCATTCTGGTATCTTGCATGGCATTTGACAGAGTTAAGATAGGAGAATCAGTTAAGCAATTGAGGTTTATAGGGATAACAGCTGCATTACGTTTGTGTGGTAGTGGGAGGGGGGAAGATTTGATTTGATTTTATTGTTTGCACATTAACAAAACAGACAATAATAAAATACGAAACAAGGATAAAACAGGTGCAGGAGGAGGGGAGAAGCAAATTGGCATGCTTATACTAGGCCCAGTCCTCCTCTAAACTATACAAAATTAAATATAATCAATAAATGGAAATAATACAATAGAAAATGGAAATAATACAATAAGGATAATCAAATAATGTACGGTATAAGTTAATGACTATGAAATAAAGTAATGTAAATTATAAATACAGAGCAATAATGATAATGATAATAATTGGTATGAGTTACAATAAGAGAAAAACACTAGTCTAAGAGAAACTACTACAGGGGGCTAGGTTCATTTATCAGATGGTTTTTCAGGGCTAGTTTGAGTGAGAGCAGAGACAAGGTAGGATTCTTTAGGGCTGGAGTTAGTTCATTCCATAAGGTGACACCTTTGTATCTAACCGACATTTGGGCAAGAGAAGTAGTAAAATGTAGTAATTATTTTCATAGTTTTGTCTTACTTTCTAACTTACTTTTGGATGCTACTTGAAATATCTGACAAATCTATCCAGTTGCTTGCATAACAATTCCTTGAAGTGTATATCTCATTACCTGTATATCTGACCTTCATCAATATAACTTCAGATTCAGTTAGTCACTGACAAAAAGTAGTGGATGGACTACTTGAAACATTTGACAGTTTTCAAAACCTATCCAGTTGCTGGACAAGTAACATTTTCTTGTGTATATAAAAAAAGCCTCCAGTTTAATTCTGGACTTCCAGTTTAATTCCGGACTAATTCCCATATCTCAGCAACCTTACATCTAGATGGGCTAATATTGTAAACTATATGTAAAAATGATGTAAGAAATATGTAGCAGCCATCGAGGACCCCTTGGGGTTTATTATTATTATTATTTTTTTAATGACGATTTACCACATTTGTGGAAGGATTGACATAACAGGTGACTATCACCTTTTCAAAGATGTCAAACCTGAGACCAGACTGTTATGTTTGAACCACTCACACCGGGAAGGTCCCCTACTCTTTTCGATAAGTGCGGTTGGTTCTTTAACGTGCGTGGGGTGTGGCTCTCCCAAACACGGGACCTCCATTTAACGTCCTATCTGAGGGACGTCCCTAGCCGAAGCTAGGTACTCATTTTCACCTGAGTGAAGTGAGGAAAGTCGTGTAAAGTACCTTTCCCAAGGGTACAACGTCGGGGCGCATGTTCGGACTTGTTTGGGTGCGACCCGGAATCGAACCCGGGTCTCCCCGTTTCATAGTCCAGTGATGTACCACTACACCACACAACGCCGATTAACCCACTTCTGCAGAATTCTGAGAACTGAAGTCAGAATTCTGAGAACTGGAGTCAGAATTCTGAAGATTTCTTAAGATAAGAATTCTGCAGAAGTGGGTTAATCCCCAAGGGGACCTCGATGGCTGCTACGTGTACATATTTCTTACATTTATTCTTACTTATAACTTACAATATTAGTTCATCTAGATGTAAGGTTGCTGAGATATGGAATTAGTCTCAGTCGAAATTCTTCGATCAGTGACTGTATTTTTGTAAGGAAGATTACGTACCTCCAAATCCTCCAGATGTCCAATGTACATCTTGTTCACGGAGTGACCTAGTCTCGCGAGAACACGAGACTAGGTCGAGACTTGTGTGGATCTTCTGGCCTCCCCTGCCTCCTTGCAGAGTAGGGGTAGGTAGGACTTGGGCAGCTCCCAACCTTCATTGCGATTCATCAAAAATTTGGAGGTACGTAATCTACCTTACAAAAATACAGTCACTGATCAAAGAATTTCTACTAATTGTTAATTCTACGTGACTGATGAACCCCTTCAACGGAATTAGTCTCGAATGAACTGTAAGTCCAGAATGAAACTGGATGCTGTTATAAGAAGTTGTTTTCTGACCTCTCCAGGAAAGCTGTACCCGTCCACGCTATGCTCGGAGCCCTGGGAGTCGATGCTTCCGTAGTGGAGCCTCAACTCCTGCAGCCTGTACAGGTAGCTGAGCGGCCCACCCGTCAGGTTCACACGATTCCGGTCGTCCACCTGAAACGTCAGGTCATGACCCGTGTTGATCAGTGTGCCGTTCATCTGCGGGAGGGGGGCAACAGATAACAAATGTTAGCTAGAAAGGTAACATTTGCAAAGCAATACATACATGTTAAACTTCTTCTTCTTCGTTACTGCCTAGCCCTACAGAGTAGGATTATTGGCAGCCGTTACGCATTGTTAGTAACAATTGTGCCCGGTACATAAAAAACAAAGGGAAAAACAAGGATAACTGAGGAAGGAACATAAGACAACTGATTTTGTGTGTGCTAAAGACGGGACAAGTGCATTAGTGCGTTAGTAATATTTACATAATACAAGACATGATGGGGTGGCTCAATGGAGCAGGGTTCTCGCCAGTTCAGATTTGAACTGGGCGAGAGACCCCGCCTCCACCGCACCGGGCTCAAGTTCGTTCCATCCCTGATGGTACGGGGGAAGAACGAGAGCCTGTAAAAGTTGTTTTTGCTCGCGATGGCCTGCAATGTTTGAGTGTGATTGATGCGGCGGGAGCATCGAGCCACCGGGACAATCCTGGTTGAGTGTGGGACGGAGACAGCATTATGTATAATCTTATAAAACATGACCTGGCGGGCGATCTTCCGACGTACATGTACTTCCAGAGACTGCCAGCCCAGGTTTTGCAACTTTACATATGGTCTCCTCTGTTACATAATTCTTACAGGTGACAGGAGTCTAAATCCCTCCTGCTATAAAATTGCAACATGATTTAACCCAACACTAGTTACCATGGTGACAGACGTCTGGTTCTGGTCACTGACAAGTTTAGGTTTATGCAAATTTTTTTGCCGCTACCGTCTACATGTAAAAATGTATGAAGTATTCAGAAGATATTGAATTTCAAAAGTCTGTTGCTTGTCAAACTAGATGTGAACTATCACGACAGAGAAGCCTGCCAAACTTTTAAGATGCTACATGTATACCTCCATAGATGGTTTTACCACCTTTCAGTCAGGTTTGAGGAGCTCCACACTATAATATGTATTTCCCTGTGACGAATTATCCACAATGATCAGGTGGTAATGCAAGGTTTAGGTTCTCAACTGGGGGGCTCTCCGGTACACGGATGTACTATGTATCAACAGGGATTACGAGCGCTAGACTATTTGCCCGTAGCATCCATTATCCATGGGCTATCACCACCTGGTAACCATTAAAGGGAAATAACACGCAGATCACCGAGAACTAACCCACAGGCCTGATATGTTAAATTCATTACCGTGACAAATGGAATATAGAAGAGTCTCAAAGTCCACACTATGGACATGCATCAAAGCCTGGCTTTCAGGAGGGTTTCGGATGAGATCAGAATTACTACTTTTGGCTGCCTGGATGGAATTTCAATAGGTGTCTAATGTCAGTTTTGATACTTTTCTGCAGAGAAACAGTGGCATACAATGTAGTTACTGGTACACAATTTAGCAGTATAATTCTAGTACTATCTAACTTTATATATCCATCTATATTTCATATCCATATCTTCTAATACATGTATATCTACTTACCTATCTATCTATCTACATGTATCTATCAGTAAATTAACATGTATCTATCTATCTAGTATTTACATGTATCTATCTATCTATACATACATTCATATATTAATTATATATAATTATCTATACTATTTATCCATCTATACAGTCATGTAAAAATATATATTTATATCTATCTAATTTGTCTGTTTCTCTCTATATAGATATAGATAGATATATTTAGAGAGATATTAGACACTAGATAATATAATTATACTTCTTGATCAAATAATCAAATATAGTCCCCTCACAAAACTAATATTACACTTTTTTTTATCAACACTTTTTTTTATCAAATAGGCTTAGGCCACACCAATTTTATTTCTTGGTTAACGGATTTTTCTAGAAAAATAATGGAGCGGGTGGGCGAAAAAAAAATAAAAACAGGCTTAGGCATCCTATTATGGCCCAAAATGGTACGATAGGAGCCATAAAGTCAACACACCAGGCTGGTTCAAAATTTAAGCAATGAATTTTGAACTTTTAATGATACCACTGCATAGCCTGGGTGCCATCCGAATTTGTAACGGCTCCCCCGAAAAAATCGGGGGAGCCGTTACAAATTCGGATGGCACCCAGGCTAACCACTGCATTGAAAGATAGAATAACTGTTAGTAACAACTAGGTAGAAAAGGACTGTTTTTAACTGTTCAGGGCAAAATATGAGCATTTTGCAGTTGATTCTTATTTTTTTTTGCAAATCAGAAAAAAAAGGAAGCGGGCAAATCCGCTGACCAAGAAATTAAATTGGTATGGCCTTACAAAGCACTTTAAAGTAGCTACATTTGCCATAGAATAAGGTCTAAGTCTGCCCCCCCCCCTATGTGCATATTGTGATCATCTCTCTTCTATTAACAGTAGTCTATAAGTGGATGTGAGCAATACAGTTGGAAACCTCAGAGGGCTTCTACGGTTTACATCCATAAAATCTGATGACCTCTTTAAGGTTAAAGGTGAGAAACAGTCTGGTAGTTTGAGTGTCTGCATTCCTGCGCTGTGGGGAAATGAGCGGCCCTATTATATCCGGTCGCGGTCTTTCAAAGCTATATTCAAGGGCAAAATTGGGTACTCTTCTGAAATACTGCACACACAGTAATAAAAGAAAGATCAAACGAAAATTGCTCCCTAAATGTACTCCTTATATTCTCTCCATTTCATCCACTTTAAAACTAATGTATTTACCCAGATTTTGCAGTGCCAGTGAAATGTAATTTCACCATAGGACAGACACATTTGTCACTGCATTGTGCAAACAATGCTATTCTTTCATATCTCGTCTGTACGACTCTTCAAATAACATCATCCACTCTATCTAGTTCTCAAATCCAATGTAATCTTCTGCAACAGATTCTTTCACAATATCTGGGTCCGTCTATACTCATAGAAATATTTCTAAGTTTTGTTATGTGTATTTCTGTTTGCTGTGTATGTTTAATTTTTCTTTTGTTTATATGGGACATGGATGCCTGAAATAAAGAATAAATTTGAAATTGAAATTGAAATACCTTAAAGATTATTGTACATTCATGCCACGACGGGCTACATGTAGGTACAGGTCAAGATATAACAGACACATAACAAACGTATATAGAAAATTGGAGACAAGTCAACTTCTTCTCGCTTTTTTGTACAGTGGAAAATGTGGGAGCAGATCATGTTTGTGATACAGGGTTATTGTCTAGACGCATCAAAAATATAAATTTATCATTTGCACTTAGGTGTTCAAAGTATGGGAACTTAAATCTCTTTGATATGATGGCAGGACAGATCTTAAAAAAGGACAGATCTTTCATTAGAATATAAAGTACAGTCTAAAATAAAGTGTTGTTCATCTAGCTTCTATTCTATTCATGTTACAGTATTGACAGAGTCTATTCTGGAGAGGAATGCGGTCGTGCCTTCCCGTTTCAATAAAGAACTTAAAACTAAACAAAATCATAGGCTTCAACATGCGGCAATTCCAGGACTCCCGACCCAAGAAAAGCCCCAAAGCTGAACTTGTCGCTAACCATTTGATGCACACATTTCATACACAGCTTTGATGATAAATAATTCATAAACAATATGCTCCTGTGGTATTGTCATGCATGCGGCATGCATCCTGTGATGCACACAGTTTTAACTGTAAAGGCACAGGTGCTGATTGCTATCTTGTGGGAAAACTCATCTGTACATGCAAGCATAATATGCAGAAGCTGACACAGTTCCATCTTCAGATTAATGTTATAAACACGGATGTGTCAGCACATTCAACAAATGTGCATTACTCTAGATCTTGGTAATGCGTGAGGAATGGGGGGAAAGAACTTGACTTGAATGTAGTGATGCATTCCTAAACCCAATTTTAGGTTCAGGTCCGGATTCAAGTCCAGAGGTTTAGGTTCAGGTCCGGACTTGTAAGTCCGGACCTGAACCCATGGCATATACAAAATTGCATGTTGGCAACCTTGCAATGTTGTCTGGGTGAAACTTTGGCCACATAACATGGAGGCCGATACTTGACGTTGCCCCGATGGCAATGTTTTCTTCGTTTTGTAGCAAAGATTTTACAATCTACGGAAGGTTTTAGGTGGTTTGGAAAGAAAAGGGGTATGTGAAATGGTCTTTTTTGATAATAAGTCCGGACTCGGTTCTTGACTTTTAGGTTTTTTTGGACTTGAACCTAAACATTCTTACAAGTCCGGATCCAAGTCCAGTGATCATGAACCGGTATGCATCACTACTTGAATGTCAATCAAAAACTATATTGGATATTGGAGTTTTTGTTTTACACAATCAGTAATTTTTAACTAAATAATCAGTAATTTTGAATTTTTAAGTTTCTGACCTGCCTAAATTATGTTTTGATGTCTATCAGACACCTTCCTCAGAGCTTCTAATAGACATTGAAACGTAAGCAGGTGAGAGACATTACTGGTTATTATATAATAATAAGAAAACTCCTGACCAGTATCGTATATTCTACCAACCTGATGAAATAATTTTTTACAAAAATTGCTATGAATATACTGCAAATCTTTATTCTAGCTGTACGATATAGATTGGAGTTGCTTATACATGTAGGTCTAGTCACATTCACCATAAGATGGTAAACTGAGCAATATTGGGACACCTTCGGCTGTGACATACAAACTTAAGCTGTCTTGCTCCAGAAAAGTGTGGTCTGTCTTTATATACCCTCACTGAAAATACTGCAAAATGTCACGACGAATGTAACTGTTACAGTCTGTGTCGTTAATGTACTTTTTTAAGGGAAAATTGTCTTCTGACATCCCCTATTAGATTTAGCATATCCAGAATCCAGTAGTCGTTAAATCTGAAAGTACACTACCTACTCAGTAGGGGGGAATCTTCCATGAATATAGTGTTCTGTTAGGCCACACCAATTTAATTCGTTGGCTCTCGGATTTTTAGAAAAAATATGAAGGGACAGGGCGAAAGAAAATAAAAATAATAACAGTTCTAGGCATCCTACACTGTATTATT